GCTTCTTGGCCAGCGCACTGTACAAAGTGTGGAAATGTACAAGCACAGCACGAGGAAACCGTACATGATTTTTATGTATGTTTGTTCTATCTTTTGGCGCAGCACGAGAGTATCACGTACATAGTGGTGATCCTATTTAGTGTTCTGATGATCGGTTCTTCGCTGGCGGGGGTAGTCCATACCGTACGCAAGTTAATTCCTTTGTAGTACAGAACGGCAGGCGGACGATTTCTCTTTCAATTGTTCTAATATGCTCCGCCCTGTGTGCTGTCCTTGTGTTCCAGGAGGACCTGTTCAAGGGTTGCTTCTGCCTCGATTGCAGTCGGGTGTACAAGTGAGGAAAAGCCCCCAACCAATTATCCTTTATAGGGAAAATGAATGTGTTTGCGGTTTGGCTATGCACGTCTTAGTTTCTGCTCAATCGAACCCATACCCCATTATCAACAATTTGTGTCTGTCCGTGTTGCATTCATTGCCCAAAAGCCGGTCGTATTATGATTATGTGACTGGTGGACAGCGTGCAGCATATGTTTTCTAAGCTCGACATTTTTCTGGATATGTATGTACGAGACAGGATTTCAACTAGCCAGAAACGAGTGTTCGCTGTGTTTTTGTTGGTCGCTCGACGCGTGCATCGCACCCTCGTAAGCTTCCACAAATCTGTCGCTCACTCTACTCCTTCCCCTCTCGGCCGCCGTTACCCTCTGTCTTAACTTGAACTGTTCAACAGATGCCTCCTACACCCCTTCTGCGGGGAGTTTGTATGCACGGTGCCGTGCGAAGACGGCTCTCGAGGCTTGCGAAACAGCACAATAGTGCCGTGTCTAATGCCGTGTGTGCCGTGTCTGGTTCGCCCGGTCGGCTGCTGCCTGAAGGACAGTACGACTTACCGGTGCGAGGCTTCGCTTGATTGTCGGCGTCGTATGTTTTCATGATGGGGCGTTTACACGAGCGTGTCTCAGTCCCAGGCTACTCTCTTCGAACGGCTCTGTTGCATTGGAACTGAACCGCATGCTAATGCCCTGGAAACCATGGTCAATTATCTTTTCTGGTCTGAGTTCCAGAGTGAAGACGTTTGCCACAACAAGACCGCCGCTACCTTGTTTCTACGCCTTCAACCTGTTCATCACCAGAAAACAGCCTCTATGCCCCCGTTTGCCTCTGCTGGCTCTCTGTCATCTTGTTCCGGATTACTTTCCCCGCTTCCCTCCCCCCCGCCAACCTCTTCCTTCCCCTGCTCGTTCTGCTGCTCTTAAGAGCCGTGTTGATGAAGCAAGTGGCCCGCGCGCAAGGCGTAGAGCTGACAGACAACCAGAGGCGGGCGGTACCTCCGCTGGTGCAAGGAATGGCTCGATAGAGGCACGGGCAAGCCATCTCGAGCGAGGCTGCATCAACACCGAGAGGACGCTCTTCTACGCTGCTCCCTTGCGGAGGGAATCCTCGTCTGTTTCTTGTGTTGTTCATTTGCCTGCGAGGCAACGCGCTTTCAGGTGTTTGAGGAATCACTGCGAGGAGAGCAGCGCCACTGCTGCAGCATTGTCGCCGCGAGTGCACGGGACGGGTTGCTCATGTTGAGGCAACATCGGGTCGTAAATAGTGTAAATACTGTAGACCAGACTGCTCGCCGGCCGTTAAGATCGGTGCCTTGTGTATTGTATCCCTTTTGTCGTATGTCTTACATCCATATCAATGTTGCTACTGTATTTCGTCTACACCACCAGCTTGTAGAAGAAACCTGTCAAATTGTCTTCCTCCGCGTCATCACGGCGATCTTTTTAATTTTGTAAATACATTGATTCCCGCGCTTCACCGTGGAGGTCTTGAATATGGTTTACTTTTGTAAAGAGTTCTCTGTATTGCGAGCTTCCACCTTGGATACTCCTCCCATACACGTGAAATTCATGCGGAATCCCCAGGGCAACACAAAGATCCGGCCTCAAAGCCAAGTATGATCGACAACCCTCCCACTACTTGGTGCAATATAAGGCCTTACAAGCCTCCCCAAGAAGGATACCAGGCGAAAAATTCACGAAATATCCCAGAATTTAATCTCCAATAGGTAAGACAAACAGCCCGAACACGCAAAAGATATCCTGGACGATATCCGGCTTCACCCAACGACACTGGAAAGCGCTGCGTCAGTTTGGCTGCTCATCCAGACCGGCCTACTTCTCCCTCCCATACAAAAGCAATTTGGCAGCTGCATTTTTGTACGGACAAGACAGCACACCAGCAGCAGGTGTACTGACTGCTGTGTTTAAGGTTGTATTTGTCGGGGGCCTCAATAGCGCCGGTTGAATCACCGGTCGCTCTGTTTACCGCCGGTGAAATTTGCTGGGCACAGTAAGCAGGACCAAACATCAACATTTGCGGTCTGCTATTGGGGGAAGCCCGTAATAGCACCGGTTCGGGCTCCACCTTTCACCGCCATGTTATGCATTGCGCCGTTTGTTGTTTTGACACACACACCCGCACTACACGCCGATGGTCTGCTGAAAGGCACCGATCCCGTAGCGTGGATCGTACCCACTGCCAACGAGCAGTGCGGAACGGAGTAGGAAGGAAGAGCTCTATGGATGGTGTCAAAGATGACAGATGGAAGAGTGCGGGCGAAAGGGAGGATATGTATGGCGGCATGAAGGGGGGGGGGGGGGGGGGGGGGGGGGGGGGGGGGGGGGCCCCTTTTTTTTTTCTTGTCTTAATAAAAAAACCCACCCCCCCCCCCCCCCCAAGGAGGGGACTTTTTTCCCCCCCCACAAAACACCCCGGGGGCACCCCTTCCCCTCCTTTTTCCAAAAAGGTGCCCAAAAATTTTTTTCCCATTGGTTTTCCCCTCCCCCGGTCCCCCCCCCCCCTTTCAAACTTCACTCCCCCCCCCCGGAGCC